TGCGTGCCCAAGATCCCGAGAGGAGAATGGAGGAGAAGGGATTGCGGCATGGCCATCTCCCCTGGGGGGTGATTTCTCGCTTTCTATCTCTCTGCCTCTTTCTGTCTAGCTGGTGAGTGCACGCGCCCTATGGCAAAAACCTCTCCCCTCCCCCACCAAAATAGTAAGAGTCTAGCATCCATTTGGGTTGTAAGGTAATGCAATGGCCTTGTTCCCTAAGAGTGGCTCTCTGGCTGGTTGGTGTCTGCACAGAAACCAAGGGTCACCTTTGTTCTCCTTCTGCCAGGCCAGCACGATCCTACGTGTTGGTGAGCAGTAATGAGGCAATCTACAGGACAAAAATTCCCAAGCATATGGGCATAGTCAGCGAGCATATTAAAAATATCCCGATACAAAAATAATGTGTGCAGAGATTAGGCTTTACAGCACCCCAGTCCCCACTAGTGGGTGTTTATCACCACACTCATTGCAACAAATGTGCGCTCAGAGACTCGCTCTACAACGCCGCTCACATAACACATCAGCGATACCTTCAGCAAGAAAAACACGCGCCCAGTGAGTTCTGCTTATGCAAACAAAGCGTCAGCCAACTGCTTATCAAACGCATTGAAGGAGACAGACATGTGCTTTCATGACACTGGACAGGTTGGCCAACAGGAAAACGGAACTGTCTTAGTGATCGTGGTAAGCCTTGGGAAGCTCAAGAAAAGCCACCGACAGAGAAAAAGCAAATCGAGAAACTACTACATGATTCTCTTATGCCCCCTAAAAGCCCATGTTTCCTTCCTGCTCACACCGTGCAAGCAGGGTGCATGGCACGTGTGTCACGCAGTCTTGAGAGTGCTGGTATCCCGAGGCGGGAGTCGGTAGCCAGCTCTCTAAGTGCATGCTGTTCTGTGACATTCCTTGCGGAAATGGGAAAAGAAAATGCAAGGGCTTGTAGAAATTTCAGGTGTATTTTTAAGGTGATTCTCTCAGAGGCCTGAAAATGTTATTCTGACAGAGAAAAGAGAGATTGAACGGCTTTTGTCTGTGCAATTGTGTGTTTTCTGACACCTTCACCTCCAGCTTTACCAGCTGCATGCATCACTCGGCTCTTAATGAACTCGTGTAATGGCAGGATCAACATAGAGGGCCTGAAAACTTAAAATGCATGAACAAATCTGGTCCCAGCAAATGACTGGCATATTCTACACTGTCCTGCTCATCATGAGGAGATGTAAACATAGGCTCACACAAATATTTCATTCCACTTCTCTTCTCAGAGTATGCAGAAGGGCAGGTGATTAAAGAGACGCTCCTTTGTCGCTAAGGTGAAATTTGAATGAGGCACATACTTCAAGGGAGACTGCACACACGACCAACCCATAGCCACAGCTAAGGAAGTCCATCCCATGGGGCCAGCAGACGGCATGGTGGGTACGGTACTGGACTCTCACACGGCCGACTGCAGTTTGAGTCCCAGACCTAGTGACTTGAAGTTCACACTGGGCAAGCCCAAAGTCCCAAGAAGACAAGGGATTGCAGTGTGACCATCCTCCTATGGGGAGTGATTTCTCTCTCTCTCTCTCTCTCTCTCTCCAGTGAGTATATGCACCCTATAGCAAAACTAAAAATTAATTAGTTTAAAAAGTTATACTACAAACCTGAAAATAGAGATTGCACAGCCAGTGGTCCAAATCCAGGCAAATCAGATCTTCAATTTTCCGGAAGTTGCTGAGTTTCTGATCATAATGTCCTCGGAGAAGGGGACACTTGAATTTTCCCTCCACTACATCAAAGTTGTTATCACACAAAGGGAAGACTGCCCAGCCCATGACCCGGTCAAGGCAAGCATATGTCCCACGAAGGAGAAAGAGCTCAAACAAGATAGCCATTCCCGGTTTTACACCTTTGTTTTGAGGGATCGCCTAAGAAAGGTATTAGAATAAAAAAAGATTGGGATGGTCACATTTTTTAAAATGCACTGTATTCAATAATAGCTATAGACAACTCAGAATTAAGTACAAATTTGGTCTGTACTCCGGCTGTTTTCCCTTGAAAACTCACCATTGGATTCATTAGCATAAAAAACCCTTCTAGCCTCAAGTAATTGAGCCCCAGAAAAATGTGACCAAAATGAGATAACTTTGACCCTGCTAGTTCAAGATTCTACACTACATGAGCTGTGGAAATCAAGCGTGTGGTATGTTAGCTACCATGGCAGTCTGCATTGTAATTCCTCTTTGCTTCAGTTGTTACTTCTATTATGTAACTATTTCTATCTTACATCATAGTCATTGTTTGACATGCCTGTCGTTCATCTTGGCATCATTCACAAACCCAGCACAGTGCTCTCCACAGAATGATCCTTCTTTAAAACAGACTGAACAGAAAGCACCAGATGGTATAGTAGTTACATCGCTGGACTCCCACATTGTCAACTGTGGTTCAAGTCCTGGACCCTGGGCTTGAATCTCATGCCAGGCATGCACGTGTACATGCCCAAGATCCTGCAGGGGAGGAATGAAGGAGAAGGGATTGCGGTGTGGCCATAGCCCACGTGAGAGAGTGATTTCTCACTTTTCCTCTCACTGTTTCTGTCTCTCTCTCTAGAAATCTCTATTTTAAAAAAAATGACTGAAGAAACTATCATACACTGGAGAAAGAAATCCTACCTATCATAACTTGAAACATTACTACAAGGTCTACCTCTTGAGCAAAACAACAAAGTCCCATTTAATTGTGTGTCTACCTCTTGAGCAAAACAACGAAGTCCCATTTAATTGTGTGTCTACCTCTGCATTTCAGCTGATTCTATAACAAGTGTCACTTCATACGCCATTCGTCTATGCTAACTAAATAGCATTAGGTATAAAGATGGAGTAAATAATTGGACAAACTGTTGTTCAAGTTCCCAGATGTAGAGAGAAAGCCTAGTCCTCAGCCTTTAGAAACTTTTCTCTTTTTTAATATTTTTTTTCTTAAGAAATAGATTTTTGCTACAGGGTGTGTGTGTTCACTGGAGAGACAGAGAGACAGAAAGTGAGAAATCGCCTCCCAAGGAGGATGGCCATGACACAATCCCTTCTCCTCCATTCTCTTCTCGGGATTTTGGGCATGCATGCACATGTGCCTGGTGTGAGTTTTAAGCTGCCAGGTCTGGGACTCGAACCACATGGGATCCCAGTGACATAACCATTATGCCATCTGCTGGTCCCCCCCTTTTTTAATGTTTAAGGTATTAGACCTGAATAAAATTTTTAAAATGATTATACTATTGGGTTTCTTTTTCAAATTTATATGAATAATTATAAATGGGCAGAGATAGATTCCTGACTAAGAACTATTTTACAACCATATATTTAGCCAAAAGTAAGTAGATGCATTGTATATGACTTATGTAAATATTCTAAGACTTAGTTTAGGTATAAAAAAAAAAAAAACAGAGGCATCTGTTGAAAAAATGCTATAACCCTGTGGCAGCTGCTATTAAACCATTAACGGGATCAGGTTTCATTTAAACCAGATTTACCATTTTCTACAACAGCCCATGGGAAAGCTAAAAGCATTAGGCACAAATTACTGACAAAAGAGATCCTTAATCAAGCCATACTTTTCATTTGCTAGTTGGCTGTGAGTAACTTTGTGATAAGAGAATAGAACCCACTTACAGAGGAGGAGGAGAAATAGAGTCAGAAACCAGTTTGGGACCATCATTTAAAACTAAAGTTAAAAAAAAAATAAAAATGAAGTTGAACTGATGTTATTAACAAAACTTTTGCATATTTTTATCCCTGCATTTAGAAGTGAAACTAGTACCCCTCTTATATTAAACTGGACCTATTCTATGAAATCTACAAAGTAGGTGAAGTAAGACTTTGAATGGCATGAACCCAATCCTGAAATTAACTTTGTTGTGGTTGTGGAAGTGTCAATTTCTCTTTTTTTAATCTTAATTTCCACTCACTTGAGTTTCCTCATAGATAACAAACAAACATGAAAAGATATAAGTATCTTCTTCACCAGAGACATGGAATTGTCTACTTAGTAAACATAAAAGGTCTCGGAAAAATATAAAGTGTGTTTATTTAGTTACTTACAGGCTCTATTTCAACCACCTGTAAGGTGACCTAGACAACAGTTTCTTTTAGTAAAGAGGAAAAGAACAAATTCAAGGTCAAATATATGATGAAATATCAACATCCTTCTGTGCAGGGAAGAACAGTTCAAAGCTACCAAGCTGAACATAGTAACACCATCACCAAGCAGGTCTATGCTACCTGTAACTATGTATAAAAAGCAACTTTGCTCAACCTATTCTACAAGATAGAGGAGTCATATGCAACTACCCTCATGGCTCCCCAAATATTTAAATACATGAACAAGACCCAACTCAGTTATTGATACTGATTGAGGAGGACAATAAGAGCCACAAACCATGAAAGGAATTTACTTTATCAGATGATAGTTGTCTGTCTCTATTTTTTCCAGTGCCTTTTCTTTGCTGTATATTGTAGAAAAGATCCTTTGCCCTATAATGTGCAGCTTGGGACTCATTCTTCTACTCTTTGGCGAGGAAGATCACTAAGTTTTACTGTACCTCTCAGAGGATTTTTTTTTTTACAAATTTGAATGTGATGTGATCCTATGATGTGACATTTCCATTAGAATTTTTCAGTAGCTTTGTAATTGAATACTATATATTAAGAGAAATAAATGTGTCGATCTCCCCAACTACCAAAGCCATCTCATCATGAGTTGTAGCAGTAGGAGGTCATAATGTCCTCAGAGTACCTTTACTTCTGGGGACTATGAAGAACAGTCCTTTGGAAGGAAGAAGACTCATGATACAGAGTTGAATTTCACTGCATGACATAAGGATGATGTATTTGATCTTCCATATCATAGAAGGTAGAAGTGAAAAATCAATGGAGAAAAACTAGAATCAAAGACACACGCGTAAGTTTGGGAAACTGAATGTTAAATGGGAGATTAACAGAGAAAGCAAAATTGATTCCACTTGGAAAAATAAAGTTGGACTGATGCTAGTAACAATATTTTTGTATATTTTTATCCCTGCATTTAGAAGTGATTTTTTTTTCTTTTTTTTAGTTTTTCCATGGAGCACATGCACTCACCAGAGAGGGAAAGTGAGGAATCACCTTCCTGGGGAGACAGTCATGCTGTAATTCCTTCTTCTCCATCTCCTCTCAGGGTTTAGAGCATGTACGCACACATGCCTAGTTTGGTTTTCAAGCCACCATGTTTGGGACTTGAACTGTGATCAATCATGTAAGATTCTAGTACCTTAACCACACCACCTGCTGCCCAGGACACCAAATATTTTTAACTCAAAGTAATCCAGAGAGGATTGGAGTAATGATGCAAAGTGATTTTTAAAAAGTTCAATTATTGTTCATTGTTCTGAACTTCCTAAATTTTTTGTAATAATTATTTCTTTTATAATCAGAAAAAGTTTGAGAAGTGATTTGAAAAATAAAGCACCTTCACAATCCTGCTTCTGGTTCTAATAGTGATGGCCACAAATTACCCTCAATTATCCTTACCTTTAACTCCTGCCTTAACTAGGAAAAAAAAATTCAATGTAATTACAAAATTAAGATTCTTTTTCAGTCCATTGGGGAACTGAAGACACAAAGAAATTTCGGGAAAACTAAATCTCAGGGTGGGATAAACCCATTTTATAAGAGCTTGGAGTAAAGGCAGCTTTAATCTCAGGGAACAGGTGAAAGAGGAAACATCATTGGGTGAAGAGTTTTGTAGGTAAAGGAAAAAAATTGACTGAACTTCTAGAGATTTTCAGTGGGAAAGAATGTTTAGGGCAGGACTGGAGAGGAGACAGAGCAGGATCTACCAGTAACATAGTACCTGAGTACCATGCCTAATGGAAGGAGTCACCTTTTACAACTTTACGCTTCTGAAACCGTACTAAATTAAAACCAACTAAAGCTTCCTCCCAACCCCAACTTAGCTCCCTTCCTGATTTGAGTGGGGAAATCAGCCCCTTGGTGGGGGAGCAACAAATATTTTCTACTATGTTTCCACAGTTTGTTTATGCACAATGTCTAGCATGCAATGCACAATGTCTAGCATGCAATACACAACTCTGAGACATTTATGGAAGCAAGAAAATGTGATACCTAGACAAAAGAAAAATTTATCAATGGAAACACACCCACAAATGACCCAGGTGTTGAAATTAAGGAAGACATTAAGACACATAGTTAGGATTTTAAAAAAATAAAGAAAAAGATGGAAATGATGGCCAGATCTGTAACACAATGGTGCTCAAGAGAACCCAGGCTCTGCATGGTGACTGTGGTTCAGATCCCTCACCCAGTCAGTCTGAAGCACACCAGGCACCGGGGAAAGTGCCCAAGATTGGACAGTTTGGAGGCAGAGTGGATTGTGGCAGAACCAGAATCTGTGGAGGTTATTTCTTTTTCTCACTCTAGTCTGTACACACATGCACTCCATCAGCAAAAAAAGAAGGAAGAAAAAAATGGAAATAATTGGTGAAAGGTTGAAGTATTCCAAGAGAAAGCTTTTTATTATATATTTTATTATTTTTATGCATTTCATCACTGTATGTCATTACAGCATGTGAAAGGAATTTTCCCAACATGAATATAGTACGTATTAGGCCATTTAAAGATATTATCATACACCTTATCAAAACAGATCATTGTTTAGTTTGTGACCCTTTAGTGTTTTAAGAAGTTTCAGAATAGAAGCAAAATAGTTGAAATTAATGGGATGGATGGTAGAAATGGACACAACAAAAGGATCGATGAACTCAGACAGGTCAATAAAAATTATCTCAACTAAAAACAAAGACCGAAAAATAAAAACAGATCAGAGCATGAAAGATCTGTGAGACAATAAGAAACAGTCTAACACACATATC